AATTCGCAACTCTTATGCAACGCACAGTAATTTAAGCCCTTGCTAACGTCACCTTTGCTGCTTCTAGCCTTTACTCAATCTCGTTCGTCCTCAGAGCCCAACCCGTTAAGATCCTGCTAAGAAATCCTAGGTTGCACAGGTGACCACCGCTGCAACCAGCCTGACGTACACCGTCGAAGACGGGACAAATTACAATGATGCCTATACAAGCCGTGGTGGTATGGTCAACGTCACAGATCTTTCATGCTATTATATGGAATTTATTCAAGACGCTTGCCCATCGCAAGTCACTGTTCAAACGGTGGCTCACACGTACGGCGAGATGATTTTGGCCTCTCGTCTCAATTCAACTTACACCAACATCACGGAAGTCCTGGAATCCAAACAGGCCCATCAGTACTACCACCGAAAGATTCGAAATCAACAACAGGTTACGTACAGATTCAAAGAGTACAATCCAAAGGATGTTCGCAAGGTCTACCCTTACTTTACGGACCGCTATATTACTGCGGAAGCTAGGAATTGTATAACGTACCATGAGACGGGCAGGGACAATAAAGATCCCCAGAATTTCACCTATACCAACGCCAACGATGCTAAGGACACCGGCACAATCACAATACCAAAGCACTCTCTGGGCAGAGAAGGTACCACGTACATATATCGAGGCTTCCACGACCCTACCGTTGCCGACCAACAGAGCTGTGGTCCTCGACGTCTTTGGATGTGGGCTTACAAAAACCCCTCCGGGCATCCTAAAAACCCTTCCGGGGACCCCAAAGCCCCACCAGAGCCATCTGCTTTCTACAAGTGTCCAGTAAATATTAGCGAAGTCATCAATGCCGATCCAAACCAACCCAAGCACTTCGTACCGGATGAAGTCGCGAAAATGGCTGCCGCATCAATTGCTATGCAGGGTCAATATTCAGGTCCGCCAGGTAATCGCAGTGAACAGGATTACCATTCATATCGATTCTACGCGTCAGGGTGAGTGTGATTAATTTGAATCCTGACAGAGTATTGATCATTGAATGCCTGCTGATTCCCCCTGCTTATCCCAGATCCGCATGGGAAGTCCACCACAAAGACGCTGACGAAGTCGGCGATAGATTTGCACTATTCGCGCTCGGCTCACTTGCTAATATGGCTGCATTGAACCCACCGATTCAGATCCCTGGAACCGTTCCTTATCTTTGGTCACAAAGTTAAGGTGTACGAGCCATGGTTTTCTATATTTTGGGCCTGCATCGTGCTCACACACTTCGTTGTTTTCGGTGCCATAATGATTGGGAGCAGAAACACAAGCAATAATGGGGTACTTTACTAGTACAGAGATGAACCCTATGTACGGACATTCAGATGAGTCTGGGGAGAGACTCGTAAGGGATCAACACGGAGTTAGATTACAGGACAATGCGTAAATTGCTAATCGTCCCCTTTAGCCGTCAAGATTCAATTTTCTCGCTTCGAGACAGAGCCATCCTTAGGAGCTACTAAAGCACATTTGTATTTAGTTAAGTAACGTATGGACAGCAAAGAAAGAGTGAATCTGAATATCTCCTGGTCACTAGCAGATGAGGTGCTAGAAGTCTGTGCACGGTTGTTGATATTTACCTCAAACTATCTAACGGACCCGCTAGATTATACCGAATGAGTAACCGGAGTCCATCGCTCGGAGCAGCAATGACAGCTTCTACTGCTAAGCGCGATCAAGTTTGAAGTCACCCCATAACCGATGGACAAGTTAGCTGCCATGCCGGAGGAGAAGCCGTCAGAAGACATGACGATTTAAACCTTTGCTGAGCTCGGGATTTATCCACCAAGTCACATGTACAGTACGATGGGGGTTGACCCTCGCATTCAACCATCAGCAGAAAGCGTGCATGCAGGGAACCGTGATTCAGGAACAAGTGACTACCTTCCTAAGTGGAGAGTACTAGTTTCATCTGAGTTTTCTGGGTTTGTAGCAAGCTCGGTGCCAGAGATTGTTGCAGAGGTAGCAGAGAACTCCAACCGATCGAAGCCTGGTCTTCAATCGAAGCAATTGCAGCCTGCAGTGTATCCAGTCAAATCAAATTAGTCAAATCAAATCAAATCACGTTTGTCAAATTAGTCAGATTGGGTCTTGGCAGAAAATTTGTATGTTGTGGCATATTTTGGCATATTATTGTTGAAAAATAAAAAGTCTTGGCGGACTCCTTTCCCGAGATGTAAATTCTTGCCAGTCTTCCTCACCAACCCATTCCTTACTAAGATTTGACTCGTTTGACAAATGAATCAAATGAACCAAATCGGCGCTAAATTTGGTTCATTTGATTTGATGGATACCCTGATTGCAGGCTACCCTCCTTAGCTTCCAGCCGTGGAAGGACCACCTTGCAGCATAAGGACGAAGGTTTTCAGAATAGAGGCGTACTCTTCGAGCCGAGAAGATCCTTCCTAATCAATATCGCAAAAATCTTGAAAGAGTTCGGGGTGGAATACACACGCGTGAGCACACAGGGAGAAGACTGAACTGATGAGAAACTTCGAATCATGGCGAACCGCTAGGTGTGGCGATGAAAGACGATGGATAGAATATTCATCGCACAAGGCGAGCGAAGGTGAGAAAAAAAATGCCGTAAGTCCCTGCCTGCTTGCGCACGTAAGATCCCGAGCCTCGCAGCTTAACTTATGCATATGTGAATCCAACTCCAGGGTTGAATACTGCGAGTAGTTAGAGCAGTCACGTAAAAGTGCCATGCGGTCTCTGTGGAGCTCAACTGACACGGCCAGTGATACCCATGAAGTTAGCCGATACAAACATCCATTGGATTCATCCGGCCCTAGACCTCAATATATGGAACGTAAGATACTCCATGAGACCGGGTTCACGGAGCCCCAGCTACGCAGGCTCAGATTCTTGTTCGGGTTGACTGAGAATGCTCCCGTTCTCACTTTCCAGCAGCACTCCAAGGTAGCATAGCTTTCTTTTCTTTGCTCCACCGATACACACCACCATCTCCGACGTTGTATCGATAGTAATTCTCGGTGCCTGCTGGTGTCATTGCTCGACGAAGTGTGATATTAATGCGACCCTTGTCTACATCTGCACCCTTGCGCTTCGGAATACTGTGCAGCCAATTGGCTTGGGTAGGACCGCGCATGAGCACCATATCCCCACTTGCGAGTGAAAGCTTTATTGGAGTTGTTTCCAGCGGCCCCTCGCCATTCTTCGGTGCAACCGGTTTGTGCTTCATCAAGAAGTCGCGTTTGGCTCCAAGAGTGAATGAGGCGATGGCAGGGTCTGGTCCGAGGAACCTTTCATCATCGCTATGGTAGCTGATACTGTCACTACCGGTGGCATAGTAATTGACGAGACAGAAATTGTATTCCGTATTGGTAGCTGCCTCAGTGACTCTTCGCAGAAAATCCAGGCATTCTGGGATTGGCCTGGGTTGACATTTGTACTTGGACTTCGACACGGATTTCGTCCTGTCCGACGCCTCTACGATTGAAGGAAGCTCCGCTGTAAACCGGCTCGTTTCGTCGATCCCAAAGACGGTCGTGAAGCGAGGCGTGTTAATTTCTGTTTGCTTTCCGAATCTTTGAATGGTATACTTAACGCGGTAAAAGAAGAGTTCCGAGCGTAGAAATTCAAACAATTCGCGCTCGATGGTCCGAGGTACAAAGGGCTGGAAATAGAGCAGATCAAGATGCAGCTGATTCTTGATCTCTTTGCCTGCATGTGTCACGAGGGTTTCTAGCTCTGCAGCAATATTCCGAGGCAGATTCGGTACGGCCCAAGGAAAGGTTGGATGGCTAGTGACGTCTGAGGATTGCGGCTCCAGGTTTCTGGTCGAGACTGATTGGTCTTCTACGGGCGCCTTCTTAGCTGGGCTTGCCTTGAAGAAGCCGTCAAGTGTCCTTTTCGACATTGATGCTTTTGATGGGTTTGATTTCTTGAACTGAGAGGCAGGACCATGTGTGGATGCCAATGTCTATTCTAGCTAGTAACCTGCGACGTCATGAGCACTGAGACATGTCCCTTTCAACGCGTACGCGCAATCACGTGGTATGAAAATTATTTTCAATGGACCCATCGACCCATCGACCCAATCTTCCAAATCGTAGGAGACAGCCACAACTTGTCCCACCATTTCCTCAATCTGACGCTTTCCTTTTCTGACGGTTGAATTCATTCCCGAACCGCCAACATTCGTTGCTACGGATCTCACAGCGTGAGAACTACCTTTCCACGACGTTGCAGCCGCCCATTCGCAAGATCATACGCTGCCCTTGCTTCATGAAGAGGCATTTCGTGAGCAACAAATACTTTTAAAAGTCCAAGATCTAGGGCCACAGAAAGCTGTTCCAGGTTTTCCTTTGAGGGTTCCACTATGAAGAATAGAGCCCTTACGCCTTGCTTGTCATGGGTGAATGTCTGTTCACGATGATTGCGCACGAAGTCTCCACTCGACGAGTCGATCGAAATGAGGATACCGTCATCTTTGATCGATGACCAGCAACGTTTCAAGGTCTCCCCACCAACGGCGTCAATGATGATATCGTATTCGTTCTTGACATGGTACAGGTCTTCATATTGGAGCACTCCAGTGGCGCCAAGCGACTTCAAAAACTCCTCATCGCAGGTTTTTGAGCTGGAGACCGCAACCACATGCATGCCCGCCAGCGCTGCTAGTTGCACAACATATGTGCCTACCGCGCCAGCTGCACCCGTCACAGCAATCTTCCGAGCTGACTCACCCTGATCCATAGCCCGAGATCCCGTTCTTGTGATCAATGAGAAGTCTGGCGGCGTCACCCCTGCTTTCACAAACAGAGCCTGCCAGGCGGTCAAAGCACTCACAGGCACAACAGCACTTTCAGCCCAGCTCAGTAGTTTCGGCTTCAGAGCCACCTGATCTGTCGTCGCAATAGCAAATTCGGCCCAGGTGGAGCCCTTACTCGTGTCAAGCATTCCGTATACTTCATCACCGGGCTTCAAGTCGGAGTCTGTTCTGTTTTTGTTGGTGCCTGGATCGTCTTGAACGGCCACCACAGTACCAGCAAGGTCATGACCCAGCAGTGGCAGATCCGTGCTATAGGTCTCGGTCCACGTCAATTCATCTCGGGTGACTGAAGTTGCATGCACGCGGATCAGTAGTTGGCCAGGCTTGTCCAAGGTAGGTACAGGTATGGTGTCCAGAACCAGAGCAGCGGAAGGTGCTGGATTGGTGGCAGAGAAGGGCGGCTCTGTTTCAGATTCCGGAGGGTGCACACGAATAGCTTGCATTATGGCTCCTCGCTTGACGAAGTTTCTTTCAGGATCTAGCACTTATTATGAGCTCTTAATTGTGACGGCCTTGTCCTTCTTCTTGGGACGTCCAAGTGGATAGTTTCAGTAATTTCCACCTGTGTAATCGCCTCTTTGAAGTTTCATGCTCTGTATTATCTGGTGCTGCATATTTCTTCATGAAAAGTGTTCAGGGATGAGCAGCTTCTCTGAGCTTTGAAGGCAATCGTCCGGATAGCCCGGCTGTGGCACAGACACAATCCGAACTCAATTCTGCATCGACTTCTCGGAACCAAATCCAGCTAGCTGTATCAGGCAGTGTGCTATCCTGTGTCAGTGAATGGGTTGCCTTCCTTGTTGAGAATAGTACTCCCGCGATTTAGCGTCATAGCTCCTGCTGCAGCCTTGGCAAAAGGAACACCAAAAATTTCCGCAACCCATCCAGTGACACAGGGGATATTTATCGACTCTGGACCACCTTTTAGCATCACTAATTTCCTATCATGATATAACCGACTCGATCTCGCTCGCACATGGCCATTCTCCGCTCCACCCTCCAAATCCCAAAATCTCTTCCCCGTCCCCGCTCCCCTAACGTAGCCATGCATTCGCCCCGCCTCCCCTCCGTCTTCCTCCCGCCCACCAACCGCTCGATGCGCGATCTCGACCGTTCGTTCTTCCAAAAAATCATCCCCATTGCCGCCGCGACGGTGTTTGATGATCGCAATATCAGCGCTGTCCGGGGCGAGATCCAGCGTGCGGGGAATTCGCTGGGTGTGTCTAGTCTCAAGGCGATCGTTGTCGATGAGACGGTGCCGGGGGGGAGGAAGTGTATGTTGTTGAGGCCGGGGATCGTGGCTGCAGGTTTGTTTGTTCTCTTTTCCCTTTTCGTTGGGCTGGATTGTGGTTCTTTTTGCGTTTCTTGCTTTCGATGAGAGGTTTGGTTGCTGATGCGTAGGTGCGTTTGGATGGTAGATCCCAAGACCTGGTCCCCTACCATTGCGGAGCTGGTGGAGAAGAAGCTGGTGGGAATTCGACCGTATGATCTCAAGCTGACCTATGAGGATTGGAGCATGCGTACGTGAGTATATGGGGACGGGTCTTCTAGCTGTTTGCTGAGATTAGCTAGATAACATCCTGGACGCCACTTTACCCGAGTTCGAAGAGGATGACAAGGAGACTCCAGCCGGGTTTTCCCTGGTTGGCCACGTCGGTAAGCCCTTTATCTCCAGCTGATATGTTACGACAATCTTTGACCAGTGCTAGCACACCTCAACCTACGGGAACAATATCTCCCCTACAAACACCTGATAGGCCAGGTCCTACTGGATAAAAACCCCAACGTCCGCACGGTCATCAACAAGACCGAAGACGTCGGCAGCACCAACCCGTACCGCACATTCCGCTACGAAGTCCTCGCCGGACCAGACGACATGGACGTCACCGTCTCCTTCTCCGGCTGCGATTTCCGTTTCAACTTCGCTAAAGTATATTGGAATCCCAGACTCCACACCGAGCACGAACGACTGATCAGTAGATTCCGAGAGGGGGAGGCAGTCTGCGATGTCATGGCGGGCGTGGGCCCGTTTGCCGTTCCATCAGGGAAGAAAAGGGTCTTTGTGTCGGCGAATGATCTGAACCCGGATAGCAATGCGGGCTTGAATTATGCGATCAAGAAGAATAAGGTTGAGGATTTTGTGACGGCGGATTGTATGGACGGAAGGGAGTTTATCAGACGGGCTACGAAGGAGCTTGCGGGTAGAGATACGATGGTTATTGTACCGCAACGAACGATGATGCCGAGGCAACGGCAGCGGAGGAGCAAGAGCCCGCCCTGGAAGGCTTCTGTGAGAGTCTTGAAGGCACCCAAGACCTTCCAGCACTATGTCATGAACCTGCCGGCAAGCGCAGTTGAGTTTCTAGATGCTTTCAAGGGCACATATGCTGGGCGGTCAAAGGAGTTTACTCCTTATACGGAGACGAAACTGCCTATGGTACACGTGTATTGCTTTTCGGAGCAGAAGGAGACAGAAGAGGGAGATCGGGTTGCTGTCTGCGAGCTGGTGTCCAAGCATTTAGGGCACAGGATATTGCCCAGCACGCCTGACACGGAGATTCATTTTGTGAGGAAGGTGAGTCCGAAAAAGTGCATGTTTTGTGCTAGCTTTAGACTGCCGCCTGAGATAGCTTTCGCTGAATGAGACTCGATTGCTCCATTTACCGTTCTCATGTCTTGATAGGAAGGATAGGAATGGCAATAAACCTGTTCTGGTTCATTTCTGACTGCAGAAAAGTAGCCGTATATGTAGTCACAGAGAGGATTTGTAACGCCAGTTTCTGGGTATCATCAAAAGCAGTCACGGAGGAGCATGCCTGCGTTACAAAATGCCATAGACATCATCATTCCCACCACCATGGAGCCAAATTCCAAGTTCTTACCGCTGCTGAGCCTGGAACTTCAACCTCTGCAGCTGCCGACACAGATCTTCCAAATCATCATCGGACAGCTTCCCCACCAAGCTCGGTATCAAAGTCTTCGCCTCGTCCGCACAACTCGGCACCAGGCTCCCTACATCAGATCATTAGCCATGAGCTCATTTTCTCCACCCCCCCCTTTCTACCCGCTTCCTCCTTGGCAGGGGACAGAACAAAAGAAAGACATAGACCCACCAATAGCGCTCTTCTCAAAATTCGTCAAGCCCTTCCCGCCAAACACGTTGACAATCCCCTCGAGCGCCTGCGAATCCGGGATCTCCTTGAACACGCTGAAGATCTCGAGGTAGTCGCGCGTCTTGATCAGGGTCTCGGTCTCGCGCATCACCGCACCTTTCGACTTGCGCGTGTCGAGCGTCTTCTGCAGGATGATGCGCGCCTCGGAGATGTTGAGGCAGGGGATGTCGGCGAAGTCGCCGAGCTTGAGCGTTGAGGTCGCTTCGATGTCGGTTGCCGAGGTGGGCGACTGGCGGGAGGGCGCGGCGGGCGCCATTTTCTCTCCCTGTCGGCTTGGTCTCCTTTGGGTAGGGGGGAGTAGGGTGGTGCGATACGGCTTTGCGTCAGGGAGGTTGGTGATTGGGTCTTCCTCTTGCCGTGTGGTGCGCAGCGGGGGAAGCAAAGATAGGTCAGGCAGTCATGGTTAGCAGCGTGCAAAGGCTTAGCTGATTTTCGTCGTAAGTTCACGAAATGTGTGTGGCTGCATAAGCAAAACAATAATTCATGCACAGCTGGTTTGATTAGAGTGGAGTAGTTAGTACTATGTAGTAATGCAGGCAGTGGTCTGAGATCAGCCAAGCCACGATTCCACGCCGGAAACGCTTACTCGAATCAAGCAGGGCTTCGCGGCTATACTTCCCCAGCTTACCTGTGCTACCTATGTACCACTGTGGGGGATTCGTAGCACGGCGCTAGTATCTTTGTCTGGGAACGGGTCACAAACATGAAGGTCGAGTTTTGAGCAGTTAAGCGGTAAGGCTCTAGCCAACCACTGGGAACGATAGCTTAAGAAGCTTTTAGATATTAATGTGGCGCGGTATCAGAATTAGTTGTTACTAGCACCGTGCTACGAATGCTTGTGGCTTCTCCATAGTACGCAGTCAGTATAACCACGTGTCCCCAAAGTACTGCCCCTGCCGATCTATCACATGGTAAGATTGTTTTCCTGCGATCGGAAAAGGACAAAGGACTTCTGTACTACTGAGTACACACGTGGACGCTGGACAGGCGACACTACACAGCTAGACTCAGAATCAGTGATCCTACCGAGTGTAACAGTGACATCACCTCGTGTCCTCTGGAGCAACGGTGGTCTACACGGTGGTGTGAGGCTGAGCTTCTGATAGACATGGACCTCCCAGGATGACATTCCTTATCCTTAGCTCCAGCATCCTCCATGCGTCGTCACACAGAGTCGCAAAACTACCTCGACGCAGTCCAGGCAGCTGCATAACGAGAATGACGACCAGGTCTCGAGAACGGATGTATGTTTCGGTTGACTTTAGAAGCATGCTAATGCCTTCTCGTCGCACGATCTGGATTGTGGTCGGTTTAGGATAACTGTTCCAGCGCTTTATAGGTGAGATGAGTCTGTTCGCTCATTAATTCAAGCAAGCCCAAAGTAGACAGATGCCCATAACATGCTCAGCTGAAGCCGTTCCGTGAGATCGAGGTACATCAGCCGAAACCTTGCCGGAATGGTTGTTTTATGGATACGGCTGGTATCCCCCGAGCTAACCATCCACACAATGCCCATAACGCCATGGCGCAGCTGTCTCGGACGTCTACAACAAACGGCCTATAACAGCCGAGGCAATGCTCCTTCTTCGAATCTAGGACATCCTGAGTGGCTCGTGTTGCATGTACGAGAAATCTCTCTCCGTGCACGGGCAAGAGTATCTGGGACCGCCTGACGAAGAAAATGACAATGAAAAATAGTTTTGCAATGATGCCTTCCACGCAAGCCGGCACGGCTGAGGCTGGGATCGTTTCTACTTACCGCTCGCGAGCAGCCAGAGATGCTCTGCTTAAGAGTATCGTAACACGCTCCTCGGCCCTGGGGGTTCCATACTCAATCGCATATTTTGAATCTTCCCCTGCAAATCACCACTTCACCATTTGACGACCAACACTCATCATTTAGCTCTCAAGATGGCTTCTCCACTGGATCTCAACAATATTCAGGGAGATATCTTGTACGTTCACGTTGTCGTATCGTCATTCGTTGCAGACTCATGCTTCACAGGAAAGGTTTCCCCAAGAAGACCGAGACCTTTTATTTCTTCCGCATTGACGACAATCGTGTCAAGGAGTTTCGTGAACAGCTCACCGAACTGGTACCCTTGATCACCACAACAAATCAGATCAAGGACGACCGAAGGAAGATCGATGAGAACAAGAAGAAAGGTGCAGAGAGGCAACATGGCCCTCCAAAGCTGTTGAAAATGTGTGGAGTCGGTCTAAGCTTCTCTCACAAGGGGCTGGAAAAGGTAGGTCGTAGTGTCCGTCACGGTACCGGATTGTAACACGGCGTGTTGCTGATAATTCGCTCTTCGCCCATCACAGATCGGAATCCGTGATGATATTGGCGACGCCAATTTCAAAGACGGTATGCTCGCTGATGCGAAGGATCTTGGCGACCAAGGATCGTTCTCCTCGGACAAATTTGACCCAGATTGGATTCCTGAATTCAAGGAGGAAATCCACGGCCTGATCCAGGTAGCTGGCGATTGCCACGACACCGTCAAGGACAAACTGGAAGAAATCAAAGACATCTTCTCGGTTGGTGACGATGACGCCACCATTCACAAAGTGTTCAGGGTGACTGGAGATATAAGGCCCGGAGCTCATAAGGGTCACGAACAGTAAGTATCGTTTGTTGCAGAATTTCCTAACGTGCTGACGACGGGGTGTAGTTTTGGCTTCCTCGACGGCATCTCGGACCCTGCAGTCCAGGGCGTGGACACTAACCCATTGCCAGGTCAGGAAACGATTCGTCAGGGCATAATCCTCCTCGGCCGCGAAGGTGATGAATTCAACCGGCCGCCATGGGCTGTGGACGGGAGTTTTCTCGCTTTCCGCTATCTCCCTCAACGAGTTCCTGAATTCAATGCGTTCCTGAAGAACAACGCTATCCCCATCCCTGATCCAAGCAAGCCTCCTGAACTAGGCATGGAGCTCCTTGGTGCTCGGCTTGTTGGGAGATGGAAGAGCGGTACGTCATCTGGTAGTCTTGATCCTGAGGATGGACAGAGATGCTAACGTGATGTTGGCGCGCGCAGGGGCACCTGTTGACATTTCCCCTCTTGGAGACGACAAGGCCCTCGCCAAAGATCCAAACCGCCGCAACGACTTCCGCTATGACCCACTTTCTCAGGAAAGGTGCCCCTTCGCAGCACATATCCGCAAGACGAATCCGAGATCCGACCTCGACTCCACCGAAGCCAACCGTATCATCCGCCGAGGTATCCAATATGGGCCCGAGGTCTCCGCTGCTGAAGCTGCTACGAAGAGAACCACCAAAGACCGCGGACTCCTCTTTGCCTGCTACCAAAGCAATATCGCTAATGGGTTCAAGTTCATTCAACAAAGTAGGAATTCCTTCTCCGGAACAGGAAGACGGAATGTATCGAGACTAACTGCTGTAGGCTGGGCGAACCGTGTCGACTTCCCATTCGGGAAACCCATAGATCCAGGTTTCGATCCCATCATCGGTCCAAACCAATAATCTGGGCGTGCGTACAATGTCAGGCAGCAATCCAAACGATCAGACCGCGCTACTCAATATGAACGAGCAGTGGGTTGGCACGAACGGGGGAGAATATTTCTTCGCACCCTCCATTTCCGCCCTAAGGGATACATTTGCGCTGAAGGAGGAGACCGAGCTGCGTTAGCGTAAGTAAAGGTTCGTGTCGTAGAGCGTAGTTCGCATCCGCATCAATACTGTCGGTCTTTGATCCATGAAGCGGGATGGAGAACTCGCTGCATTCCTTTCTGAACTCAATTCAATAGGGGATGATAGCGCTGTCCAGGACGAATTTCGTAATCATTCTGTGTGCTTTTCATGCGGAGATGGGGATGAACCTTACTTAGTGTGGTCAGTTATGTCACACTCACACAAGTCATTCATTCAATCATTCAATCAAAGAAATTTGCTCGCGAGCATTGAATCAAACCCAGAACAGTATCGCATCAATCACACGCTCACCTGCGTTGTAAGAGTGGAACATAAGACAATGAGACCATGTTCAACGGCCAAGGTTCAAGGCCATATTCATGATTAGTACTCCGTAGGCCAGTGATTCCAGCTCGATGATCTGTCCGATGACAAGCACGAGGCCAGAGCCCAGGTGTCTTTACTACCCTACTAGCAAGACCCAGTAACGAGCAGGTCGGCCATTTTCGGTCCGGGGTATGACTGAGATTATTGAAGTGGTGATGAGAGAAAGAGAGAGAGAGAGAGAGATCAGAGAGCATTAGTCAGGGCGGCGGGCTCGGAGCGGCAAGTTCTCATCTCTGACACAGCTCTCGACTAAATAGCCGCTGCCCATGATACTCAACGGTCGACCAAGGCACCAACGGTACCGTCGCTTGCGTGACAGCCGAGCGCAGGGCGAGTGTTACATATGGTGTACATGGTTGGCTAAGTTAGGCACAGAAGAAAACTTCTTCGTCACGTAGAAATTCTATTTGGCTTTACTTGGCCCAACCACAGGCCTGATCGCCATGGAGGCAGCTACAAGCCGATTTGGCCAGTCCAATACGGTCCCCTATTCCGATCTCGTTGCTCACTTCGTGCACCAGCAGTCTGTATTCCGGCTTCAGCGTTCGAAGCAGAGCCCCTCTCCCTGGTGGCCTGCTCAGAGGTGGAAAGCCCCATCCTACCACTTGACGGGCCGTCTATTCTCCTATCGGCACCACTTCCCGAAGCAGCCGCTCGCTGCTCACTACGCCCAGCTTGACCACTAGACGGAGTTGCAGCTTTCCGCTTGGCACCACTACTATGGGCAGTTCTCCCCTCCCTTGCGTGCCGAGTGTCCTTCTCAGTGATGTTAGGCCGAGCTCTAGTAGGTGTCATTCTGCCAGCCACGACTTCACCAGCCACACCCCAGTGCTTTCCCGGCCTGGTAATGATAGCGCCAGGTCGATGGCTGGCTTGGGCGGCAGCTTGGTTGTATAATGCAACATTCGCAGCATCCGACCCGGCAGCAGATCTCCTGCTGATGTTGGGTACGGTTCTAGCGGTAGCCAGACTGGGTGGGTCCGTTTGGGTGCAAGCCATTGTAGCACCACCCGCGGCGGGCCAACTATTAAGTAATGGAGGGAAAGACGACCTGGATATACCGCTGGATAAGCCGTGAGTAACGGATGAACCGGTACCCCAGGCGCCCGGAGGAGCCAAAGCAGGTCCAGGAACGCCGCTGGGTGAACCAGAAGCACCGCCAATCCTGTCACCACTCAAGCCAGGTAGCGGAGGCATAGAAGACCCGGGTAAGCCAAGGATTCGATCAATCGGAACTCCCCATGTGGAATTACTTGGAAGACCAGGAACAGGTAGACCCGTCCCGTAGGCAGGTGTGCCGACAGCTTGACCAGCAGCTTCTGTCCATCTAGTATTACCCACAGCTACCCTCGGAACGGCGTTCCATTGGCCAGCTGAAGGAGGAAAGAAAGTAGGGCCGCGATGGGCTAGACCAGCAGCGCCTCCTCCTACACTACCACCCGTAGGGCCACTACCGGCAGTATACCATGGGCTAGATGGCAAGGGCGGAAAGTGACTCGGTATGTCACCAGCTGGGGCAGTAGCGCTTCCCATTATACCACTACCCACAGCACCACTCGCTGCAGCAACTCCCTGACCAATTGGCGCAGGCAGAAATTGATCGATCGAACCATGGGCTGGACCAGCAACGCTTCTCCCTGTACCGCTACCAACGGCATTGTTGCCCGTGAGTCTCTGATAAGTTCCCCTTCTAGGCGTGTCATGTTGCGTTCCAGAATGGCAATAACCAGCAGCACCAGCACCTGCGCCACTACCCATACAAGACCAACCCACATCGCGGTGCGGATGGGTGGGTACAGATGGACTTGTGACGATTGGATTGCCAACGTATGAGCTGGCAGCGCCCTCCCGAGAACTCCTCCAGAGGCCAGCTATTTCCAGCTCGGCATCCTGCTCTTCAGCAGCCGTCCTTGCTGGTGCTGGTGGTGCTGATGCTGGTGCTGATGCTGATGCTGGTGGTGCTGATGCTGGTGGTGCTGGCGCTGGTGCTGGTGCTGATGGTGCTGGTGCTGATGGTGCTGGTGCTGGTGCTGCTGAAGTGCTCGCAAGACGCTGGTGGCTACTTGACCTTGGCAGGCTTGGGGGTTGTCTGCTGTTAGATGGACCGGCAGTGCCTTTTGCCGTACATGCACCGCTACCGGTGATCCTTATGTTTACATTTTGGTCAGATGTCATGACATTCATGTCACCACATGAACTTGGCGCCTCCCTTTGAGCCCGATTAGGATCGGAATTTCTGGTTCCCTCCTCAAGCAGAATCTCAACAGCACTTTCATGTGCGGCACGCTTTCCCTCGCTACCGGGGGTAGGCAAACTAGCAGAGTTTCGGAGAGCATCCTCGTTTGGCTCCATCCCTGGATACCACCTCTCGTGAGAACGTCCCTTACTTGAATTGAAAGCAGAAGCACTCCGGCCAGCACCACTGCTTACGATTAGGCCTGTACTATCAGCACTCTTCAAAGAAATAGCCTTGCCAAAGCCACTGCTCGCAGGAGCACTTCCTTGTCGCTTAGGCTGCCCTGTGATAGGCGACAGACCAGTAGCCCCAGAGGTGATGGTTGGGTGTTGACTTGTCGTCACTGAACCAACAGTCCTGTCTGCCAACGCGCTGGCTCTCTCCCTCCGCTTCACCTCTGCCAACCACCTATCCAGCACCGCAATGTCCATTTTTGTGTTGTCGATAGCCTCCTTCAACTGTCTAATTCCTTCTCTGCGAACAACGTCGTCTCCGCCGTCATCGTCAGGGTTTTTTTGTATGTCCTGTAGTTCCTGATGAAGGAGTCTGAGTTGGTCTCTTAAATTATTGCCCCGCTCGATCGCACCCAAAATTGCAGGATAGCTATATTCCTTATGCTGATTTAAGGACGGAATTATGCTGAGAGTATATCTCCTCTGTGGCTGTTTGTTGGAGGGTCTGTTTGAGGGGCCAGCACCTCCAGCCTCGATGTTCGGAGAGGGGCAGCTTGTACCTGTGGTAACGGATGTTGGGGTGGTATGGAGCCTATTAGAGGGCGACTCCTCAGTTTGATCTGGTTCAAGCGTTCGTATTTCTCTTGATTTCTGCACGTGCTTCTTGAGTGTAGATGCTGGTCGCAATGGCAGCTGAGGTCCCCTTTCGGGTGAAGAGGATGACGAAGATGACATGGTTGCAGCAAACTTTGGTCCTTCCGCCAGCTTCACGAGGTATCTAAACCAGAATTGGGGCAATTAGGTTTTTTTCGGTGGACAAGATTACGTCCTTGGCCATGGATTCTATCAGCGTTCGTCGAGCATGAAGAGGAAAGAAGTAAAGTCTTGGTTTTGCATTGGCCACTGCAGCGACGAATGTACTTGGACAAACCCCCAGCAATGAATCAGGACTGAACTTTGCAGCATGGCAGGCAAGGCTCAAGGTGTATCGATTGTGATCCGAGTAGCTCAGCCTTGAGCTCGAACATGTCCATACGATCGTGAAACACGGGTGTGGACAAATACCTGATCCCCGTTTCTAGCAGTGCGGATGCTATAGACGTCGTTTCACCGGCAAGTTGACAGTTCTAGTTTCGGAGTTCTAGTTTCGGGGTTCTAGTTTCGGGAATCCCATTATGGACAGACTGATAGATCATGCTCAAGATTACTGAGCATCTCGTGGAGGCTTGAGGCTCAAACGACCCTGTCACACCAGGGGCCAGTCTGTGTGCACCGGGCCATTTCAGTGCTGGCGGCCGCCGACGTGGGTTCTTGAAACCCAGGGCACGTCTGACCTGGGTGGGTTGATACTGAAAATACATCAACCTTGTGGATCAGAAATTGATGATGGATCTTTGTCGAGCGACGGGGTGATGAAGAAAGTGAAAGTGCTTGTCTTCTCACTTTGGTGGTGTACTAGTAGTGTTTCAAGAGCTCAAGGACCTCGCACGGCATGGCTGGGCAGCTTTGAAGTGGCCACTGTTTGGAAATAGAACAATTCTTCTGAAGTATACCTAGAAAGATTGATGCAACTAGACCAGACTGGATGGATCCCTGCGCGAGATTGGTGTTGGTTGTAGCTACTGGTAGTGAGTGTTCTTGCAAATCATATATATCACGAGATGATTTCGAGGTGTGCCCTTCAAAAAATCATGAGACTCTCCGCACAACCTGAAGCAGCATCCTGGGCGCCGAGATTCGTCTAATGAATTTTGTTAACCATTCCCACCTTCCCACCTTCCCACTTCCTCCTCCTCTTCTTCTTTATCTTCCATGCCGTTCGTATCTTCTCCATCACCATTTATCAATCTATAACTCTGAGAGCCCGGACCCGGAATATGGATACACGAGCACTATTCTGCTTCGTCTGAGGAGCGGGCGAGGAAGTCAAGTGCTCTTTGAGGTATGAGTTTCGGAACATGGCCTTTCTTTCTCAAATACGGCCTAAGATGTCATTTGTTGTGAGGGACTGAATAGCAAGTGGCTTGAATGGAACTCTTAGAACGTCCTGAGCTTGTCTAACAAGTGGACCAATCTATACCCATGTCACGTCAAAACATCTTACATATCTGGTTAGGCAAGCGGTCATATATTCCCAATCATTCATCTTGTAGTGGACATGGGTCACCAGCCTCCTCCCTATGAAAATGTCGGATCTCCTTTTCAACCTCATAAAGTCACTATCCTGCTACGTGCGATATCTTCCATTTTCAACGTTCATCTCCTCCTACTTCAATATGCAACCGGTCCCCCACCACTAGTCAAGTTCACGTGGAAACGAGTTAGCGAATAATGCGTGAAAGATAATTGGTTGCCCGGAGCAGAATTCCGCTCCAGAAGCAACACATCGATGATCTAGCAGCGGAGTAGGTAATCCCTACCTCTCAACTCCCTGTACATTGACAAGCATTGCGTTCGTATCCGTGACCTTGAAGGATGCAAGACTGAGTGGCCTGATCAACGAGTGCTTCCCCTCTACCCCACCACAACGTGGCAGGTTGTATGTATGGAGCAGACTGAACGTTAGAACAGTCCAATGCAAAGTGACAAACACTCGTCTCACTATCTACGTAGTATAGTGAAACTTGATATATACCAAAACAGCGACATCAGTTCAGAGACTGAGAATTCCCTAAAATGGCAGGCCTGCCATCAGACATCAAAGATCATACCCTCCAGGGAGTCTCTTGTCAAATGGCGAAAGACCCAGCACACAAGCCGTTGCAGCCTCTGCAAACCGCCCAGCATCCCACCCACGCTACCACTGGCATATCCGACGAGGCAGCAAAGACCGCTCATGACTTCATCTCCTCGACAACGAGACGCATGTCTGACGCTCAGTCTCCGCACTCGCCAGGACTGACGGACGAGCTTCTGCAACAGACACACGTGTTCTGGGACTCGAATGCCACGAGGAGGAAGAGCCATAGCAAGTACCTGCCGGATGAGACATTGCCGGGGATGACGGATCAGGTTGTCGAGGAGGTGTCCGTATTTGTTGAGGCAGCGGAAGGAGAGGCCCATTATGACTGAGGCATTTGTGGCTCGATAATGTGTGACCGAAGCACAATGAAATATATAGCGGCTATATTCAAATTGATCGGCGGCTTTGCTGGTTGGGAAGAAAAGGTGCATGATTATGCCTGTACATCAAATTGCATGATGAATGACTATGGAACAGAAATAGGATGTGAGATGGAGTAACTGTCAGATTGGATATATGTGAGAGAGTTTTCGGAAGACAGTCCATGTTTGTAATGGCACCCAATGAAACAAGTTGCCTATTCGAGAAAAGCGCCTGATGAATTCTCGTTGTAGGATTTGTCTCCTGCAATTCATGCTCGTTCTTGTCATGTCTGAAGTCCAGCTTGCAGTACTTAGGTTCAGGCTCTTCCAGACCTCAAGGTGTTCTGAGCCCACCCCTGCGGAAAGTGATGCAGATCTGCTCATCTGACGAGTTAATGTTAAGGAGCCTTCTGGCCGTCGAAGTGCAAGGAAATTGCCTTCCCAGATCCCTTTTTGGTCAGGCAGCTGGTGTCTCTGACTCCGTTGGAGTTTCCTACGGGCCAAGTGTGGCTTGGAACAACGAATGGCTGTCGATGAACTGGAATCTTGGGTTGAGACCTTCCTCCAGTAGCACGCTAAGAGATGCCAAAAGCATGATTGTTATCATTAGGTTGTAAAAGTGCCTTTCTTCCCTTACCGCGGTCCTAGCACTGCAGAAGCATATCATCATAATCATCCAACCTTGAAATAGGCTGAATTAACAGCTTGACCTGCGCCTCACGACCATCTTCACTGCACGATTAAAGTTGACGTCAATTGCATCTCTATCTTCTGGTGCCACATCAGATGGGAGAGCTCGTGGATCTGCTCCCCTGTCGAGCAGAAGATGCACGATGGCGACGCGACAGTTTCGTACTGCCAGAACCAAGGGAGTTTGACCAAGGTTATCTCTCGATTCCAGATCAGCGCCTTTGTCCAACAGAGGCTGTACTAGAATGGTATTGCCGACTCGTGCTGCCACGGCTAAGGGAGTCCGGCCAAGCTCATCCCTCGACTCTAGGTCCGCGCCCTCTTCTATGAGCAGCTCCACGCAAGATGGAGTATAAGCATAAGAGTAGGCAGCAACATGCAGAATTGTTCCCCCACCGTGAAGCTGGCCAATATTCATATCAGCCCCCCTCTTGATTAGCAACTTTATCATCGCCATTCGCTTGAATTTCACGGCCCAAACAAGGGCAGTACCATGTGCCTTACCCAATTCCCTCCCACATATATTAAGGTCAGCTCCACGATTCATTAGGATCTCTGCTATAGCCCTGTTTGGGATACGAGTAGATAGTATTAGTGGAGTATACCCTTCTCGCGTCAGAGCATTGACGTCGGCGTTCCAATTCAAAAGCAGTTGAACAATCGCAGTATGGCCTTCCATCGAGGCCAGATGTAGGGCCGTCTTTCCACGGGAATCTCTGTCCTCGACACCTGCGCCCAGCTTGAGAAATATACGCACTGCTTGCTCATGACCGTATTGGGCAGGCATGTGCAGTAGCAATAACTCTGATATAGACTCAAGACAAGGCAGCTCCTCTTCAGCGAGTAATTGATCAGTAGCTTCAATGCTGTGGTGAATGATTGCGTGATAGAGGGTGGCCAACCGAAGCATTGAATTTCGTCGAGTCACGTCCAGGTTATCGTATCTGAGCAGAAGCTCTGCCAAGCTCTTGTTTCCGTCCAGAACCGAGTAATCCAATGCTGTTCTACCGAAATCGTCTTGTGCCGTAAGATTGGCTCCCATCTCGAGTAGTCGTTGCATCATTATTTCAGCACCTTTATCTTCCCATCGCTTATTGGCCACTCTAACCATGACTGACTGGTTATGTTGACCAAGGGCGTCGATATCTGCTCCTCTTTCCAGTAGCAAGACTACGACATCCACAGAACTAGCTCCGTGGAGCGGTCTGTCACCATACTTGTCTTTTATGTTGACATCGGCTCCTGCTTCGAGTAGTAATTGAACTGCTTCTAGACGTCCATAACGAGAAGCTTCGCCAAGTGGAGTTCTAGAGCTGCCTGAAAAGGCGTTGACGTCGACACCAGCTTTTAGTAGTCGAGGGATGATTATCAACCGGTTTGCTCGGGCTGCTGTAAGCATCGCGCTTTTTACGTATTTTTTTGGAATGTGCCAACTATTTCCTTCTTGCAGCAAAAGGCTAACTATGCCGTCGTTTCCCAAACTAGCCGCAACCTGCAACGCCTTTCCCATTTCTTCGTCTCTCTCTGCTTGATTAGTCTCATGTTCAGCAAGAAGCACCACAATCTCTCTGTGCCCTCTCTCAGCGGCGATAGTGAACGGGGATGTATTGCTTCTACCCCGTGTGGATTTAGGAGGACGCGAGCCCCTTTGAAGAAGTAGATGCACCACCGATACTCTTGCCGCCTCTACGGACCAGTGCAACGCAGTCCGACCATACGCATCTCTAAGGTCAATGGAGCAGTTGGAATCTAGTAGGAGTTGCACAACCTCAACATGACCATTTGCGGCAGCCCGATGCAATGCTGTCGTCCCGCTGGCATCCCACGCATCGATATCTGCACCTTGCTGTAGACAGTCCCTGACCAGATACTGGATTCCGAAGGCCGCAGCTATATGGAGGTAAGTGGGATCCACCGGAAATTGAAATCTGGGTCTAAAAAAGTAGCTCCACCTCTCGACCCGGTAGAGAACATCATTGGCACATCTTATATTGGCCTTGTTCTGCAAGAGCTTCTGAAGGATTTGCTTGAGGTCCCATATTGACTTCACATGGTTGCTGTGAATCTTTGTGGTCGCCGAACGAGAAAATAAAAGGCCCTTGAAGTCTTCTTGCGAAAAGCTTGCAACGGCTTCACGAGTATGGTTGCCCCAGTTCTCCATAGTATACCGCAGTAAGATGTTTCCTTTGATGAGTTGCCTAATGACGTCTCTCGAGTCAGCTTTCTTAAAGGGAAGCGCTATAGTCTGTTCAACAATTTCTTCTCGTTTTGGGTTCACGTCGTCATTTGAGTGAATGCTTTTGTCGTTTTTGCTATCATTGCTTGGGGAATAAGTTGCGAAAGTCGTGAAACTCAGATACGTGATAAGTGTACCGGCAATATTCCAATGAGCTTCGGGACCGCGATATTGGTGTATGCGAGCGAAGTACTCTTCCGCAGTGTAGTGAACGAGTCTCACTATCTGGCTTTCATCTTCGACGACCACAAGGCCGCAGCAAGCCGAAAGCAAGGAATCAACCCTTGGCATTGCCTCCACATCCAGAACTGTATCATCTGGTCGGATTGATAGCGCCTGTCGTACTTCTTCCATCGTAAGGGGTCGAAAAGCACAATTTATGAGTGTAAGAACTTGATCGGCTCGTGCCGCTTTTCGACGATCTTGACACTTGATCCGCTGTAGCGCTTCATCGTACAAATCATCTAGATCCTCGGGCAACTTTCGAAGGCTTTCTCGAATATCACGTATGTTGTCCTCTTTAGATAGTGATTCCATATGTAAAGCTGCAAGAAGAAACATGCCGTTGGTCTTTTCCAGCAACGTTGATACGATGACGGATTGCACGTCGTCATGACCTTCGAGGACGTCGACAAGTTCTTTTTGTAGCTGAATATGTGACTCGATGAAAGTTCGAATGTCTTCATCATGAGCACGAATTTCTAGTTGTGTATCTTCTTTGAACATACTTTCGATGGACGCTATAGGTCGTGAAGTAACCATAAGCTGGATGTGCGGTAGTAAGCTGCGGACTCCATTGAGAAAATTATTTCGAACTTGGTCTGCCTCCGGACATTCGTCAAGGGCATCAATGATGATGAACACCTCATCAAAATTGCGAACTTGTGAGCGTAGCAGCGCAGAGATTTCGTGGAGTGACGGACGCGTCCCACAACGGACATGCTGTTTCTGGCATGACTTGATATCGTCCATAATAGCATTGTCCTGTAGCGCCAGTTGCTTCAAAAGGCTCCCGAGCAGGCTAGCCGCAGTCTGTTGTGCACCATTGTACACACAGTAAACGTATGCAACTGCTACTCGCCTTCGTTTATGCTGCTCTTCTAGATGATCAATGACGGTTGACCTAGGGAGTGGACCATTAGTGGATATTTTGATTGAGCAGGTAAACTTACGTGAGGATGGTCTTGCCAGCACCAGCTGTTACATTGTTAGTAGCATGCCGTTGATCTTGATCAAAGATAATGTTCAGGCCAAGGGAAGTAGAGGTAGTACGCCAATATGCCATAGATTTCGAGGAGTATCAAGCCAGTTGCCCTAAGCCTTGCAGCTGTATGCTGCACGGGGACTAGCATTGTGCTTGTATAACGCTGGAGGGCATAGCCAGTGCTCTGATGTCACGTTTTAACATCGTTACCTGATATTCTTTGAGCGCCCTAACTTCTGTAACCTCAAATTGCAAGAAACGAATCGATCTGGAGTTTACGTTCGATGTAGAAAAAGGACAATAGAAGATGGAGAAAATGCTTACGTATTCCGGGGCACCAAAGAACCTTTCCAGGGGTTTGTATCCACGAACGGAACTCAGAACTCTCCAATAACCATCGACCAGTGCCTTGCTGACGCCTACTCACGGCATCGGCGTGCTTGGAAGCGAAGTCTAGTGGCGAGAGCCAGTGTATTGCTTCTCGCTCTTCCTCGCTTATTGATTTCAACTTCTCCTCTTTCTGGGCGAGACGCAATTCCGAAATGCCGTCAAGGACCTTCGTGGAAGAGATGCCGGATGTATCAATCAGATTCTTCACTTTCGTATCAAGCTCGTTCAACCGGTGAAACGACGTGACAGAAATATCGAGCTGAAGAGTGCTGGCCGCAAGACCAAGATTGCTGCGAAGATCAGAGATTGTTTGGTGCAAGGCCATCAACGTCTTCTGCCGGAAAGGGTACTGAGCTCTTTGTAGATGCGCGCTCATACCGGGCTTGACATCGCGAATCTTGTCAAGTTTGGATTTCAATTTCTGCACCCCGGCAGCACATGATATAATGCTCTCTGTCACTCTGTCGACGCTTGCACGGTCAAGTAACGGGTGGCGTACTTTTTCATCGAGCAATTGGAAGGTTTTGGTCAGCGCTTCAAGAGACTCGCACATAGTTACGACATCGGAGGCTGAATCCTGCCACGAGCCATAGTATTCGAGAAGACCAGAGCACACTGTGAGGCCTAGAGAAACGATTCCCGCGGCACCCGCCACAATAGAAAAGGGGTCTCCCATGATCTTGGTCCAGGGGATTGTAGTCTGAGCTCTCGTGTTATATTGCTTAAGACACCTGGATCTTCAAGACCACGGAAAGTCAATAACACCAGGGACTTATGAAAGTCCAGGCGCCCGATCTTGAGCCATAATGATGTGGAGTCTTGGCTAGAGGGACTACAGAGTATTTCCACTCGATTTGGCCTTGTCAGTCAGTCGCAGTGCAGTGGAGGATTTGGAGGCCAAGACATTTCTCCGCCGCGGAGCTCCCAAAGGTCCAATACTTATACTTAACGTTACAGGTATCTTCCTTGAAGCAGTAAGAATGTGCCTTCGACATATCATCCATCTAACCTTTGCATCCTCAGTGGCTGCGCCAATGCTCCCATGACTCTGCCTGTCCATGTTACCGACCCATCTATTGGATCTCTACCATGTAGGTGCCGTTCCTGTACTTTCTTCGCTTGCTATTATTATCCTCCCCCCCAGCTCACACTCAGTTTACCCATTACTCCTCACGGTCCTTACTATTGCTACAGGACAGTCTACACCCTCCTCATAATCAACAAAGCCGGCGGCCTAGTCTATAACCGCGATTTCTCTCCCTCTCCCAACCCCTCGGTCGAAAAGATCTCCACAAACGACTACCTCGTCCTAGCGGGCACCTTCCACGGCGTACACGCCATAACGAAATCCCTCACGCCGCGAATCCCTACCAGAAACCCTACCTCCTCTAGCCGACCCAACAGCAATCCCAACGCCTCGAACATCGCTCCATCCCTCGATAACAACCCGCCCTCCTCCCAACAAATCCAGACCACAACACCAAATCCCAATCTCCCAGTCACCGGTCTAGAAACGCTCGAAACCTCCTTCTTCCGCCTAACTTGTTTCCAAACCCACACCGGAACCAAATTTCTCCTCATCACCGACCCGCTCATGCCGAATGTGGATGCGGTCATGAAAGGCGTATATGAGCGGTATGCAGATCATGTTATGAAGAATCCGTTCTATCAGCTTGAGATGCCGATCAGGGTTGAGGGCTGGGATAGGGCGGTTGGACAGTGGTTGGGTGGGCGGTGATTGGAGAGTTGGAGGGAGAACGAATTGAAAAGGAACCCTTTGGCAGATGTCTCCGGGTAGGTATATGGCCAATGGGCAGGGCTCAATCGCGGAGAGAAGGTGAAAATCTATAATGGTCCTCGCCTAGCCAGCGGCTGGAGCGCAGTGATGATAATGGTCAGCCGCCAAACTATAAGGATTCGACCCCGGCCACCGCGATACGCCATCCGAGCCAAAATTGAATGAGAACGGCCACTCCGAAACTCGTCCTACGATGTCAAGAAGCCCATAGTGCCCATTCACGACAGCCTGCAAACATGCGACATACCACCCCGTCGACCTATCCATCATCAGGACATGGAAGGGAAAGCCATATCCCCCAAAAGACCCTTGGATCTCTGTCCCGTCTCGTGCCAGCCTTGAGTACAAAGAAATCTGTAGCGCAAGCCAGCCATTACGCATCACCAAGACGAGAAAGAATCTGCCATGCATGACGCGAGGGAGCTCGGTTGGGCGGAGTGGGACCACTTGGATAGTCTAGACCTCACTCGGGAGGCCGGTGAGACGGAAATCAGAGCAGAAGCGCGCAAGCATTGAAATGGGGGAGATTTAGTGCGGCTCGCTCTTCAGCAATGTCTATAAGAAGAATAAAACGCCCGCTATGCATGCCAGTGCCTTTGCCAACCATGATACATCGAAGAAGTCAGGCTGAAAGCTGAGAGCACTGCGAGCGCTAAACTCGCCCGCCGTCTCCCAAGCAGATTTCTATGCCGTATCCATCTTATCTGCATCTGGGACCCCAGCTCCAGCAGCAGCATCAGGCCCTCCATCCTTCTTGTCTTCTCCTCCCTCTTTCTTTTCTCCCCCGTCCCCCGAAGCTTCTCCCCCACCAGAGCCAGTACTCGGCTCGCCCTGCGTCTGCGTCTGCGGCTGCGCCTGCGCAGCTCCACCCTCCTCCGGGATGCCCTCCAGCCTCTCCTTCTCCTGTTTCTCTTTCTGTTCTGCCTCTTCGCGCTCCCGCCTCTGCCTCTCCAACCGATTGGTTTCTTCCTCCATGCTCATCCTCAGCGCCATGGCCAACTCGGGATCCACGCTAGGATCAATCCCGAAGTCGAATCCGGGTCCGCCGGCCGCCGCCGCTCCGCCTGCCGCACCGCCTTCCCCAGAGCCAGGCACACCATTCTCTCCGCCACTGCCACCCGCTCCGCCGCCCTCACCAGCCAGTATCGGACTAGTCAGTAACACATCGCTGAGCAGGTTCGGTCCGGGCGGCACAATCACGAGATGGCTCCCCTCCCCTCCTTTTACATTCTCGTTGAAGGCCTCCAACTTCGTCTTGGTGTCGGATTCCAGATCCCCAAAGGCGATGAAATCAACCGAGATGGTATTTTTCTTCATGCGCTTGGCCAGCTTGATCAGAGATTTCTCGTCGTCGGCGATCGGCGAGCAGGTGAAGACGATGATGCGTTGGCGTTGGGATTTGTTTTGGCGGTGTTTGAGCGCCAACTGCCGCGCATAGACCGAAAAGATCAGCTTAGGGTTCCCTTCTTAATGCGTCTTCCTCCCCCCTTTCCTCCGCATGGTAATGACACGGCAGAAGTAGAGAAAGAAGTGGTGAAACTCACCCCCGCCACCTGCACCCCCGTACTCAGATGTCCCTCCCCCCAGATCCGCGTGCGATGCAATCCGTCCAATACCTTCCCGATATCCGTCGTCAGCGTGACCAGCACCTCGGGTCCTTTCCCTCCCATCGTCATCAGTCCGACCGAGGACTCCGGGTTGGCGCCCGTTTTGGCGTTGAAGATCATGTTGACCGCTTCGGATTGCGCGCCGAAACGGGTGGGCCTATAGAGGGTTGGGACGTGTGTTAGTCACGGTAGTGGGAAAAAGTTATCTCGATCGGAGGGGACCAGATTAGATGTTGGATGGACAGGTACCAAGAGAGTTGAGACGTACAGGTAGTCGCCATTTCTGCTACTTTCGCTATTGTCCACTCTGCACAGGATGTATTCATTAGCACCCGGAATAGAGGAAGTCGTAAAGGATAGGCGCAAGAATATAAGTACATTATCATCGTCGCCTCCAGCACCATGGTTGCAGATGTAGAAGAGAACGCTGCGAATCCTGGATGAACGGGGGATTGTGTAATGCGCAGGGCGAAGCAGAAGACGGAGGCTTGCTGTCGATGAGGATAATATGGCTAGGCGAGGGTGCAGAGAGTTTAGAGTCTGTGAATTAACTACGAGGTAGCTTTTTCAGATTTGAAGCTTTGTAGCTCCTCCAGGCCCGCCCGGAGCTGTGTCAACGGAGCGCCAAGTGCAGTCGTTGCCAAGACATTTACATCTTAGGGGTTTGTTTACTACGGAGTACTTACAGTACTAGTGCAAAAGTATCCGGCCAACTTCAAAATTTGTGTGGAACCACACCAAAAAGACGACTTTTTGAAATAGTTATAGCAACTTTAGCTAGGCGTCAACTACTAGATTTTAAATTTAATATAAATTTAGAATTAATCAAATATTTATTCATAAATACAAAATTTTCTTATAAAATATCTAGATATTCAATAGAACAAGTTTCAAGTCAAACTTTCCAAAAAGAAGAAAAAATTGTATGGAGTCCCATACAAATTTTGTTAGAATTTTGGATTACTCTACTTCTTAATTCTTCTTTTCAAAATCTACGAGTTTTGAGACAAAAATTTCTATTAATAAAGGATTAATCTACTAATTTTCAATAATTCACAACTTTTTAAATATCTAGTTGTCGCCTAGCTAAAGTTTTTATTCATTGTTAAAAAGTGCACCTTTTGGTGTGTTTGTGGGTTTGGTCGGATACTTTTGCACAGTGACTGTAGTACTTGTTGGCCATGATGATCAAATAGACAGATAGACGAATAGACGGATAGACAGCCGAATTTATGCTAACTACCCAACAGTTCCAGGAGGACCCGCTTACGATCCGGAAGATGGCAGATTCTTCCCACGCCTGTATTGGCTTGGTCATACGAGTACTATACCTATACAAGGTCCAATGCGTACTTGAGATTGGTGTACAGATCTATCTGAAAGAGCGCACGTAGAACGAGGAGCACGAGGGCTTTACGCCTCCTCTCCATCGTCCAGATCATCTCCAAGAAGTTCATCTTCATCCGCCACCACATGGCTGTAATCCTGCCTCCGTGCTGAAAAGGCGCTTCGGCTCGTATATGGTGCATGCGATCGTCCCATCCAACCACCTGAACTGCCACTGCCAACAGGCAGATATCCCTTCGCACTCCGCCACAAACTCATGACGAGTAGTGGAGTAGCTTTGGCCACTGCCCATGTGCCAGCAATGATAGCAATAGGGACAGTGATCAGAGGGCTGTCTCTATCAGTGAAGGTGGATGGTGCGCCACCCTCACCAAGTCTGATCTGACCAAAGCCACTCAGCTTGTGCCGCCAATTCGTCCAAGCATAATAGCCAATGGCTCCAGCTGCCACGAAAGGAACAAGGATGGCAAAGAACAAGCCTAGTCCGCTTATGCCATGTTTTTCGTCATAGTCAGCTTCATGACCAGGGCATGGCCGTGATCTGAGCTTATCAAATTCATTGCCACCCTGGCACGTGGTGAGCGGTATTCGACGATAGCCAGTGGGTTCAAAATATTCGATTTGTCTAGGGTCTTCTTTGCAAACAAGAGCATGATCGGCTGGTTGGAGACCAGGAACTAGCTGACAGGTACCATCGCCTAGGCGCTCGTAGTTGTAATCACTATTAAGTGGTTAGCCAATATATCGCCGATGAACCGGGGATCGCTGTCTTACCATTCAAAGTCCTGTCTTGTACAAGAGCAGTTCTTGGCAATGTTGTGCAATCCTTCGGTTTTGAATCCATTGTAGCATTCCCTATCAAGTCGCTTGCGATGGTACTGCGCCACGTGTCCAAAGAGACAGTTCCCTTCTTGTAGTGGATGCTTAGGTTCCCACAGCTCGTAATCATCTTCTTCCGGCGACGAGTCCTTCAGAACACACTGTCTTTGGCGTTCTTTCAGACCAGTGAAATCAAGGTTCACTGTCGAAACCTTGTCGCTGCCCTCAAATCTGCCCCAAAGAAGGAAGTTTCGACTGTTGTCAGAAGGGGTTGTGCTGATCTGGTACGTGTCCATCTCAGTATCGGAGAATTGGTACTCCGCCCATGTCTTACCCTCATCAAGCGTATAATATACCACGTTCGTGGCTTTGGCTTGGTCACAAATAACGATAATGCTTCCCTGATCGCCATATTCCCATAAGTAGCTGCCCTTTCTGATCGCGTTCCACGTGATGCCACCATCGCGTGTGATGAAGGTATATGTGTCATCACTATCTTTGGGAGTGAGGTGGTCGCCCACGTTTCCTACGGCGAGCATAAGACCAATAGCTGACGGGGAGGAGAAGGTGGCATGCTTGTCGTAGCGTTCTGTGTAGGAGTGAATGTGCAGCGAACACTTCTCGCTGGCAGTATCAGCCTTCTCCACGCAGCCAAACTTGTTTCCATCCATATCTTTCGCAGGTGGCGGAATGAGCGTCCACTCCGCGCCGTCATTATGCGTGATCATAGACTTCAATTTCTTGTCCTTCCCAGACTCTACATCCTTCACATTGTCAATAACATTCACCATTGCTACTCCTTCAATCCCTTGCATCTTCTCAAAGTCAACAAAACCCACCTCGTCACGATTGACGTGGCGCAAAGAGAGCGAATAAGAGGTGCCGTTGCTGTTGGATTTGATGATTGACCCGTACTCTTGGTTCTTCTCGTTGTTGACTGTGACATGTAGGAAGACGGCGTGTGTTGAACTATCGAGGACCGTGTAAGCTTGCTCATGTTCGACCTGGAAATTGGGTGGAAATTCTGCTGGTGCAAAGACGCGGCCGTCGACACTGGCGTCGACCTTCAAGAACTTGTGGTCTTCGGTCTTAGCTGCCACAATGATGAACTCTGACATGGTTGCAAAGTCGAGGATGTCATCAAAGTGCACTTTCCTATCCTTGAACCAACTTGTGCTTGACACTAGTTGTAGAGAGTTGCTGGGGTTCTCGTTCTTGTATTGCTCACAGAAGACCAGATTTTTATCGTCTTCCTGAGATGCTCGGCCTTCCCGTTGGATAAATTCACACTTCTTAACTGCTTGAAGGAGAAGGCTCCATTCGTGCCGGTTTTCAGTATGATATGTGGCGCCACATGTCTTCGTGCCACAGTCCTTTGGTCCAGTCCAGAGTAAGGAGTCTTTGTAATCCGGGTGAAAGTGCAGTGTCCGTAGGTCTGGATGTGGAGGCGCAGGAGCCTCAAGATCTTGCAAATTGTCTCCTCGCTCGAGTGAATAAAAAACCTTTTTACCTTCTGTGAGGAAGAAGATTGCGTCGTTGAAGTATTGGTGCGGAGCGATAGAAGTGATTTTTTCTCCTTTGAGGATTTCTAGCCATGTCTTTCCGTGGTCCTTGGTCAGGAAAACCTTGCCATCAGCAGTACGCATAATGACTGATTCATCGTCACCAGAACTTGACTGCGTTCGTTCGAGGTAGTGCCATTCGCTAAACTGGGTTGACCCAAAGGTTGTCGTTTCGTGAGTGATTTCCCCGGACGCAGGGGCCTTCTTGCTACCTGAGCAAGGTCTTTTTACCTCCTTGTCAAGCTCTTCTCCGCCTTTCCTTTCGCAGTCATCTCCTGGAATGAGCCTGAATCCGGAGCTAGCGGTGAAGGTGTCTTCAGAATTCTTGCATTCGCCAGCAGGAGGTATGAGAGGCACAGCAGGCACACACTCGGTCTGATCTTCACTTCGAATGTAATTAAAATCACACTCAAAGTCTTCTCTTGAACATTTGCAAGGCTCAGTCTGTGGCAAGGGGTCCTTGAATTCCTCAGCCACGAAACAGTCAGCGTCCGCCATCCGTCTCCGATAGAATTGTTTATGCCCCATAATGCAACTGGGGTCACCATCCTCACCAAGCCGTGCAGGCCATTTCTCGAAGTCGTCTTCCTTGCATTTGCGCTCATGAAGGCCCTCGAAGTCGATCACGAAAAGGTACCAGTCATCTTCCTTGGTGGCTTCAAGAAGAAATTTGAGACTGGTGGAATCGGGAACAGTAGTTAATAGCTTTGCTCGAATCTTTTCGCCGAGATCTGCTTTGGCCCAGTCTTTCCCGTGATTGAGCGAATATTTCACTTCCTTCGTTGTGTCCTGGTCGTCAATTGCCACAATTACAGCTCCTTGGTCGCCAAACTCGTATTTATGGGCGCCCTCAAGAGCTTCCTTCCATGTCAACCCGGCATCGTCCGAGACATATAGGTTGCCTTCCTTGTAGTCCTGGAGGCGCTTTCCAGTATTGCCAACACCCATAACCATACCAGGAGCGGGACTAGAAAAAACTCTGCCGGAGGTGGAGGGGTTTGTCACGGAGTGAAGGTGAAGTCGCTTGCTCCCTACCGTTAAATCCTGAAAGGTGCGGCCATCGTCGAAGCTGATCTTGCTTGTGATATGCTTCTCCGCTCCTTTCTTTTCAACATCCTCCCAATTGTCTACCACGTTTACAATAACAATACCTTGGATTCCAGTGATCTTTTCAAAATCCACGTACCCCCGGGGACCTCGATTTGTGTGCTCGATATTCTTGGTGAAATAAGTGCCGTTCGAATTAGATGTGAAGAGGGTCCCCGTCTCACCCATGCCCATCACGTCTACTTGCATGCTGTAGTTCGTGCTCTCCAGCACGGTGTATGCTTCTTCCAGAACTTTGTGATTGCCGAATTCTGCCCGGTGCCATTGACTGCTGTCGTCGGAGACGTAAAGTGCTAATTCGTCCGTCCCTTCGGCTCTAACTGCGACCACCAAGTACTTCTTCACAGGAGCCATATTGATGATACCACCAATTGCTCTTGAGCCTCCAAGCATAGCCTCTTCCTCAGACTCGAAATAATCATCCGAGACCAACAGCCGGTTCTCGCTTGACCAGGGAGAAAAGAGCCCACGAGCAACGCAAAATATCCTATTTTCAACTTCAGGTTCAATGCCAATGCCGAATAGAGGAGTGCTGACGGCCCAGCTACACCCCAAGCTGCCTTCTCTGAGTACATGAAGATGTTCGAAATCATCATCAGTGTAATATGCGACATCTCTACACTCCCAATTAGCGCAGGTGTGACCTTGAAAGATGAGCTTCTTAGGATCGCGACCATGGAAGGCTAGGGTCTGTCGATAGTTGTAAGGTACAGCATCGGCTTCGAATTTGCGCCATGACTCGCCCCGATCTGTGGTCACCCAATGGGCATGCTCTACTCCTATGATGTAGGCTCGGTCTCGGTCGTACGGATGGGGAGATATATCGAAGGCTCGCTCTACACCACCGTCATCCACAACCTTCCAGTCTTCGCCAGCATTGGTAGATCGATACACCTTTTCATCCTCGGCATCGAGACCCAACAGAATGTCCGAGTCGTCAAAATAGAAGATGCTCCGAAGAGGGTGGTCAAAGGTGGTGGAGGTGATTCTGGGCGCGTCCTTCTTCGCTAGGCTCTGCCATGGTGCTGATAAAAGGGACACGGTAGTCAGCAGCAGCACAGGCGCCGTCAAGGACCTAAATATCATCTTCGCAACATATGGCGAGATAGATGGTACCGCCTCAAGAGAGACTGGAGAATGGGTAGAAATGATTATGAGAAGTAAATTGCAAGGCGCTGAGGTTCACTGTTGCCTCGAGATTAGCTTCCCTAAGATTACTAGAGAGCTACCGTAAGTGGAGGCGGATGCACACCCGTCACTTCACTTCCGGGGCCGAGCCTTCAACTAACTATCTCTTAAAATAGCCCTAGGCAGATGCATACTACGTACATCAAGCTGGACCACCCGCGCGGCCTGCTAATACATACCGTAGTAACTACTGCTTGCTGGGTCAGAGGCCACTCAACTACTCGACTGCCTGGAGAGTGAACCAACATTTTCCGCTTAGCTAAAAGATTAGAGGTTAGTTCAAAAGGAAAAGGCGCTGTTATGGACGTATTAAGCTCATCCATTGTGATAAATTCTTCATTGGTGTTGGAGAGTCCACTGACGCTTCTCCTGACGTTCTCCGCATCCTATTATATCTAAAAGTGGTAGTACAGTGCCAGGTTCCTCAAGGCATGCAAGAGTCCGTACGCCATGGCAAAAGATGCAACGAGGCCTAGTTATCGCTCCCAGAAATTAAGAATCCCGAATGGTATCGTCTTTTCATAATCCTTACTCCTAAAACCGCAATGCAGAAAGGTAATTCATCGGCTGGTCAATTTCTTCCACAATTTCTTCATCTTAGACCGGTCCTCTGGCACGGGATTCTGAATAGGATGCCTTTCTTTTGAAAGAGAAAGACTACCTGATCTAAGAGGACTATTGCTGTAGGCTGGCATCTGCCTGAGATCCGTTTCTGTCCGTAGATCTGGCCGGGTCAAGGTCATGTGTAGCGTCATTTCACGTCCGCAGGGGGGACCTTGTGCATATAGTTCAGGCGAGCTGTGAAGGATGTGCGGGCGCCACGGACCGTTTCTGTCCAAGCTATTCTTCTGCGATGGGCGTGAAGGTTGGAAAACAGTATCCTGAGGGGTTTGTGGGCTATCCATATCAGTCAAGGACATGTCATCATCTCTATCATCCTCCTCTTCTAGTGGCGATGATGATGCCGCATCATCCAGAAAACTGTGCTCGGCTTCCTCGGTTCTCCTGCAGTCATCGGTGGGGATAGATGGCTGCACAGGTGGCTGCACAGGTGGCTGCACAGGTGGCTGCACAGACGTTGTGCTTTCCAAGGAAGGGAAACCAAACTCAAGTGCCTCATCAAAGTTCTGGGGCGAAGCAAGGTAGAGCCGCAGCTTGAGACGAGCTTCCGGGTCTTGGTAATATTGGGCCGAAGGTTTGATGGAGGAGACAGAAGACTGTGGCTGCTGAAGAGGGGCAGGGATAGATGACTGTGGCTGCTGAAGAGGGGTAGGGATAGATGACAATGGTCGAGCTCCCCAGCCAGAACCTAGCGGTGCGATGGTCGAATGGCTTGATAGCGGTGGCTTGATGGACAGAGAATTCCGGCGGGGCCTCAGCGAGGTAAGAGAAAGGGTGCGACGAAGAGAAGGTACGCGTCGATCTCCGGTCAATGGGTTGTGAGTGGTCTTAACGATGGCATTGTGATAATTGTCTAGCGTAAGATCAAGGTCGTCCTCCTCCTCCAACCACCGAAAACTATCATAGATATTATCGTCCATGTCGACGGTAGAATCATCAACTGGCTCAGCGTTTGTTATGTGATTCTTCTGTCGGCTGTGGAATGTGGCATCCGTGCGCAGACTTCCCAATGAGTTGTTAGGCTGACGTCCCAACCTGTACAATGCCTCGTCGGAACCGTCCAGGATCACGACGTCACGATTTCCAGCCAGGAAGACCTGCTCTTCGCGGGTGAACTGGCGCTGTTGTATCTTCTGCGGAAGTGAGGAGAACCATATTGCGTCGATCTGAGATGCCAAATACTGCGTGTTGGTAGACTTGGATTTGCGTAGGCGTCTTCGGGATGACGGCCGCGTGAGGTAGGAGAGTTTCTCCTGGAGAGGAAGGGGTGGTCTTTTTTGGTCCAGACCAGCGCGCAGTATCGTTCGATCTTTCCGAGACGACGAGGTAGATGGTCGTAGCGGTGGGGAGAATGCGCCATCCTGCGCTAATCGTAACCGTTCCAGGCTTGAAAAGTACTGCAAAAGACAGACAAGTTATCAGTCTGTGGCCAATGGAGATAGTAGGGGTGACTCGATATCAATAGCGAGGCGCATGTTGACCGGTTGACTAAGCCTCGACATCATTGTGTGAGAAAGTGGAGAGCGATTTGGGGGGGGGGGAGCTAAGTGTCAATAGTTTCTCATCGCTTGTGCCTGAGCCACTGCATTGAAAGGACTCGCCTGTCTTGGCCAATCCCAGATCTCCTGCGCAAGCTCCCTTGCTATCCGTAGGCTAAAGATTGGAGCGCAGTGTTGATCACGCTTTCACTTCTTGCCCAGGCTTTGTTTCTTTGTCATGACTTCATTTTGCTGTCAAAGCGGCTGGCCCGGCCGACTGTGTATAGGCGGGCATACAATTGTCTGTTGGGCTGACCTTGTGAGGGGAAGGAGGGGGGGCACCGCTGCATGATTCCTCTGGCCAATGAGGAGGAGGGGGAAGGGGGGGGGGAGGACAGAAACGCTGCAATTGCATTGGACGTGGAAAAGATGAAGACAATAAACAACTCACTTTGCGTTGTAGGGTTGGAGGCAAGGCCTCGAATTCTTGTTCCGAGATGTTGCTAGCAGGCACTCTCATCCTGAGAAGTTGGCGAGTTCTCTTCTTTCCTTCTTCTCTTCCGCCCAAATTGTTGCTGATCAGGGCTGGCGAATATGCCCCCAGAGTCAGGATGGCAGCTTGGCATGGAGCTTGAAGGACAAGGTGGGTTTCGACAGACTCTCAATGAATAGTGGCAAGAACAAGAATCAAGTTTGGAGGAGAATACTATGGGGAGGATCAAGCATCTTTCACAGGAGGCGTTTGAGGCATCACGGATGTTGTAGGACAAGACTGTCACAATTGAAAGAATATCTGGAGGGACATGTCCTTGGGTTATCATTTGACTTTGCAGGCCAGCGCATGCACTGGATATCATTTTCCACAATTGCTGGAAACGGATTGCTCCTGCAAAATGCACAGCTCGAAATCCTTGTCCAACTGCAACATCCTTCGTTCTTTGAAGGACGGGAGAGCCAGATTGCGCTGCTTTAGGCAATTATTGCTTTAGGGATTTCAACCCCATGCAGCCCATCGCCGCCATCGACATGGTTGACCAACCATAAAGGATCCAAGGGTCAGGGTGTGACAGGGCCCGAGAGCATCTTTTGTCTTTCTCGGACAGGGCCCCACCTCCTTGACGTGCTCACGCTCACTTTAGTTGATACCTAAGCGTGACATCGGACTCGGTCGTCCATGTAGGCAATGCAGCAAGTATTCGTAGGTCACTAGGCCATGCTAACTCCTTAGCCAACAGTTGGTCTGGAGGCGCTGCATGGCCGAAGGGCCTCCAGCTACCAGTCATCACAGCGTTGGGCGGTTCCATTTCCGAGATAGATCAATCAGCGCGTGGGATTTTCGTACTATGTCCTCTGGACTAGATTACTACGTAGTACGTATGCTCCAGCGGGTTATCGTCCTATCTTGATCGCTTTTACCCGAGACACCGGTGGACTCAAGAGCAGGGGTTGCGACACCTGGAGAAGACGATCCACTATTCTATCTACCAGCGAGTCATATCGGCTCCCCAGCGCCCCAGCGCCCCAGCAGTCGAGCTTTGACACTATCAGGCAGGGCTCTATCGTTTCATTATTTCCAGGCCAGAGGCCTGAAATTTAGCCGACGGAGTTAATGTGATATACGAGGTGTCCAACACGTGGCAGCAGATGACTCCTTCTCGCGTGCCCAATGCGGAGGATTCACGGAGGATGCTTCATTTTGCTGCATCAAAAACGTTGATTGCTGCTGCAGCTGGCGCCAGTCCCCTGACTACGTAGGAAGTGCCAGCCTGGCAGCCAATTATCGTGGGTGATACAGTCCTACCATCAATCGCTTCATTAAGGGGGTGCAAAGTCCCGAACCTCGAAAATGCCGTGGAAGGCCGCATAGCGACCGAACCAACTGCCCATCCCAGGTCAGAGAAACCGTGTATGCAGTCAAGCGGTGAGTGGACCTGTCATTCATCCGCTAGAGGCCAATTCCCAGCCTGTGAGAATCTGTCTACCGCGGTGGGTTAACATCTGGTGTGACTTGAAAGTCGGCCCGCATATACCAAGCACAGCTTGAGGCCCGAATCGAGTAAAGCAATGAACCTTGTTATACCATTTCATCATGCGTAGTAAGACGCAGGAAGCGATGATGTTTTAGCCAAAATGCCACCAAGTACAAATCTGATCCAGGTTCTCTGCGTCTTCCCTTCCTTTGGATCCAGGTGGCAGATGTCAGATCCCTTTTCCAAGGAGGGTCACATCCAGACCTTCGCCGATTCCTAGCAAGACAGAGAGGGCACAGACAGAAATGTCCTTTGTTCTCACATATTCTCGCCGCAGGTGGAAATGCTGGCGTTCAAAATCCAAACAGCTCAATCAAGTCAAACAACTGGATTGCTGGAGCAAGCAAGTCGCAGTACGGAGGGTGCGAGGGTTTCGTCCGTCTCCAAAGCAGGCCAATGCCAAACCAAGGAAAATGTTATTGCAAAGAAGGAAGTGAGCAAAGTCTCCAGCGGGAGATGAATGCACCAAGATCATCACTCCATCGTATTGCTGGACAATCTGGCAACCAACAACTGCCTTGCCCGCAATATGCAAAGTACCAAAGGTAACTAAACCATATGGACGGGAGTGAGTGTGGTACCCATCATGAAGATCATTCCCGGGTTCAACTTGTGTCACATCACCACCAAGCACGGCTGAGGCCAGCAGGGTGCATCGTGAAGCCGATTCTGGTAATCGTCAAGCCCGGCAACTTCCCGCTCACATCTCACATCTCACATCTCCCCAAGAGCTGCACGAGTGAGCTGCACGAGTACTCCGTACCACGCGAGGACAAGCACGATGCAACCACCCTCTCCAGTGGTAAGCCTTCACTATTGGTTTTCCCGCACGTCAAATCTCCAGGCACGAGTCCGTGGTAAACTCTATTGCCATGGCAGGTCATCTAATATTACGCACTAACTAACTAGCTAGTAGTATGGATGGGCTTGGTGGCGTACTAGTTACGGTACGTAGTAGATGCGAATGACAAAAAAGGGGCAGCATGGGACCGACGGACCAAAAAAAGAGATCAGCTTGCGCATCGGCCTGTCTTAGCTTCATCCCCAAGGCCTCCCGGTCCAAGTCCGCTGAAAATGAACGCGTTCACTTCCACGAGAGATGTTTTGATTCCTCAAGTCGTGTTATTTCTTCCTACTATCTAGTCATTCATTCTTTCCATCACCCATCGTCTGTACATTCACTTTCAGACCGTCTTCGCTTCCACTGTACATTACCTTACTTCAGAACTTGCATATAATTCAATTCTCAATACCAATTCCGAGCTTTCAATCACCATGCGCCCCTGGGTTCCAATCGTTCTGGCCTTTGCCGCACTCGTCGCTGCGCAAGGCGGCAATAACAATGTCATCAACAATCCGGCATCCGGCATCCAAGCCGAAGCCGGCCAACCACTGACACTGAGCTGGGACAACCCATCCAGCGGGTGAGCGTTATTAAACCTGCGCCCTCCAATTGACCTGCCACACTAACAGGCCCCTATCCAGAACCGTAACCATCAAGATCCAAACAAGCGGCGACATCCAACCCACCGACGGCATCGTCGTCGCGGAAAACATCCCCAACACGGGCAGCGCCACCTTCACCATCCCCGCCGACGTCCCTGTCGGCCAAGTCTACGTCCAGATCATCGACGACGCCAACCCCACCGACTACAACTTCAGCGGCGGCTTCCAAGTCCAAGGCGCCACCAACACCGCCTCCCTCGTCGCATCCACCGCCAGCGCCAGCGCCAGCGCGGTCAGCTCCTCCGCCACCGCCTCCTCAGCCAGCGCCAGCAGCGAGTCAGCCTCGTCCAGCGCATCCGAATCAAGCGCCAG